AGGGCGGGCGTGGAAGCCGCGCTTCTCAATGTCAACCTGAGGCTCGAACCCTTGGCCTTCTGCCTGGGCACGTCGGGCGCCAAGGCTTTGATCTTTGGTGCAGAAATGGCAGCTGGTGAGACCAGGCACAGGGATCAGGTGGGCGGGGGATCTTGGGCTGGGGGGGAGGTCCTGGGCCCGGACCTCAGGAGGGGGCCCTGCAGGTGTGTGGTTCGAGGCTGCCTGGGGCAGGGAGCTGGTGCATCCCAGAATGGGCCCTGCGTGGGCGCGCCCTTGACTCAAGTATGGTCACAGCCGTGGCGGAGGTGAGCGCGCAGCTGGGGAAAAGCCTGCTCAAGTTCTGCTCGGGAGACTTGGGGCCTGAGGGCGTTTTGCCAGACACTCACCTCCTGGACCCGCTGCTGCAAGAAGCCTCCACTGCGCCCCTGGCGGAAGCCCCTGGCAAAGGCATGGACGGTGAGTCTAGGGTGCAGGGACCCTGGGGATGCCCCCTGCCGGATCCCCTCGTGCCATGTCCAGGCCCTAACGCCTACGTCTCCTGCAGACAGACTCTTCTATATCTACACATCGGGGACCACGGGGCTGCCCAAGGCTGCCATTGTGGTGCACAGCAGGTAAGGTGCCCCGTGGGCGGCACCCCAAATTCTGAGAGCGGTCAGGGCTGTCTCTGCAGAACCACCTGCTCCCCCCAGCTCCTACGGGGTCGTAGGGCACCTTGACTCCAACCCGTTGGAACTCATGGCCCATCTTGGGACACTTCTCAGTGTCCGGGACCCTGCTTGCCCCCTCAGTCTTTTCCCAGGATCAAGCGAGTTAGTAGGACCTGTCTCAGCTTCTCCCACCTGGACCTGCTGCACCCCTTTTTGGGCCTCCTGCTGTCCTCAGTTCTGCCCCCTCAGAAGGTGTTCCAGCCCTTGGCAACCATAGGAAGGTTTAAAATCCTACATCAGGGCCAGCAGGTGGCATAGAGGTTAACGTGCTAGATTCCCACATGGCCAATGGTTCAAGTCCCAGACCTGGCAGCTTCCTTTCTCACTTTTTTTTCCTCTCTCTCTGGTCAAATAAAATAATAATAAAATTAAATTAAATAGGGTTCAAGAGGTGGTGTGGTGGTTAAGGGCACAGGATTCCCACAAGGCTGACCACAGTTCAAATCCCGGACCTGGCAGCTTGCTCTCTCTCTCTCTCCCCCTCTCTGGTCAAATTAAAAATGATAAAGAAAATGATTCTTTAAAAAATTAAATGATTATTTTTAAAATATTATATAATCATTTTAAAAGTAATTATTTTAAAAATAATTATGGTAATTATTTTTAAAAATATTTAATTTAACTTATCTATTTATTTATTTATTTATTTATTTCAATTTTATCATTGAGAAGCAGAGAAGAAGTGAGAAAGCAAGCCACCAGGTCTGGGACTTAAACCATGGTTGCCCGTGTGGGTGCTCAGTGCCTTAGCCACCACGCCACCTGCTGGCCCCTAAATAAATACTTATTTTTTTAAAAAATCATAAAATTCTTTTTTTAAGGATTTTTTAAAATTTAACTTTGTTTATTTAACTTGACCAGAGAGGGACAGAGTAAAAGAGAGAGAGGAAAAGCGAAAAAGCAAGTCACCAGGTCCAGGACTCGAACCGCGATTGGCTATGTGGCAGTCCAGCACCCTTAACCACTATGCGACTTTCCAGCACCCTTAACCACCACGCCACTTGCCACCCCCAAAATAATAAAATTCTTCATCAGCTTTCCCCTGCCCCAAATCTCCCTACTCTGACTTGGCCCTGGAAATAAAACCTATTACTTCCAGGCCAGCATGTGGTGTGATGGTTAAGGCAGTTGGCTTCCACACAACTGACTCCATGGTTCGAGTCCAGGGCTTGGTAGCTTGAAGAACATGCCAGGCACCTGTGCATGTGTGCCCCAAATTCCGAGAGGAGAGTGGAGAAGGGATTACAGCATGGCCATCCCCTCCCCCAGCTGGGAGGGAATTTCTCACTTTCCCTCTCTTTTTTTTTTTTTTTTAGCGGGTTTTTTAGGACACGTGTGCTCACCAGAAAGACAGAGAGACAGAAAGCGACAATACCCCCCAGCAGGGATGGCCACACCGCAATCCCTTCTCTTCCATTCTCCTCTCGGGATCTTGGGCACGCACGCACACGCGCCCGGCGTGAGTTTAAACCACCAGGTCCGGGACTCGAACCGCGGTCAACTACATGGGAGTCCAGCGACATAGCCATTACACTAACTGCTGATCCCCCCACTACCATTCTTAATGTGCCACTGACAGCCCCTCTGCTGTGTTAGATCCCTCACCACACTTCTTGCCATCAGCAATTTTCTTTATTTCTTGCATGGTTACCTCCAGCCAGCCTGTGTGGGTCAGCTTAGTCTGGGTCTTCACCCAGCCATGCCACCCACTCCCATGCCCAGAGCATTTAGGTCCCAGCCCCCGGTGTCCTGACCCCTCCCCCACAGGTACTACCGTATCGCTGCCTTCGGTCACCACGCCTACCGCATGCGGGCAGAGGACGTGCTCTACGATTGCTTGCCCCTGTACCATTCTGCAGGTACCACGGGGCCTCCTGGGCAGTGGGGAGTGGGCAGGGGCCCTGAGACCCCTCACTGAGCCTGCCCTCTGCAGGAAACATCATGGGCGTGGGGCAGTGTCTCATTTATGGGCTGACCGTCGTTATCCGCAAGAAGTTCTCCGCCAGCCGCTTCTGGGACGATTGCGTCAAGTACAACTGCACGGCCA